TGTTGATATTCTCCAGTATAAATAAATGAAATGGTCTGTAATGCAATGCTTTTTTTGATAGCTTTAGCACTGTTGACTTATTCTTGCTGATCATTAAACAAAGTTATGATCTTAGAAATTTTCTGTTAGAAATTTTCATGTAGTTTTGATAGGTTTGTAGCACACCACATTGAATGCACAATTCCTTTCCCCTCTCTGGAATAATACCTTTCATGACAAGGCTTGATTTATGCTAATATTAAATAATCAAACTGGAAAGTGAGTAACCAAAGCAAGAAATTGGTTTGCCAGTAGAATGAATAGACCATAGTTACAAGTGTCTCTAAAAAAAGTGCCTAAAAAGGTAGACATGTGAGCCCAATATTCATTAATAATCTTATAGTAAATTTTGGAGCTTCCCATCTTCTGCAATTCCTGACATTCAAGAGAAGTTGGGCAAAAGATCCCTTTTAATCCTGCTAGTCTTTTCTCAAGGAGCAGTCTTCCTCAACGTAGGTGAGTTATCTTATGGCTTCTCCTTATCCAAAAAAGTCTCATTCTTATTGGTGCAAGCATTGTCTTTGCCATTAGACAAAGTCATGTTAGCCTTCCATTGTTCTACCTGTTACCCTAAAGGGATATGAAGAGAGATTGATTCACCGCTTCTCTTTAAGCTGTCTAGGATGGGAATTTAAAACAATTGATCCATTAATTCATTAAATCAAATTATTAGGAGCAGCTAGCTGTAAAAGTTGACTTCCTTCAGTCTCCCTTGCCCCACAAGTGAGTCTTGAATGCCTGCTTCATCTTGAGGAAGTTAAAATGGTCTTTTTCCTCAAGCCTGGCCTTCAGCTTGGCTTCCCAGTTAGCAGCCCCTTTCTGGAAGAGCAGCTTCGTTTTCCATCAAGAAAGGGAACTGTTTCAAGGCTAGCCCACTTTCAAAGGGGGGTATAGAGGGACTGGCAGTTAAAAAAAGGGATTAGCCTAGAAACCCTATGTAGCCAGAAGCAAACTAAGCCCAACCCCCCTTGATTTCCATTGACTCTTATTTAACTCCAAGCAGGTGCTGTTCATTGAGAATATTCCTGTGCGTAGGCGTGAATAGCACCTAACCAGTTTAACTGGATCTTCATGTGTGGACCACCTAATCTTTTGCCCTTGATAGGGGAGGTCTGAATGGAGAAACCCAGAAAGTATCTTCCAACTTTTGCTTGTACCTGTCCTCAACTGTTATACCTAGCATTGAGGTTTATACACACTTGGGCTTTGAGTTGGACTGCAACTGCATTAAATACTAAACAGCTGGATATACTCTTTCTTTCTCCCCTCTCTCCACCCTACCCCACCCCCAACTTAAGCACATAGGAACCAAATGTGAAAATACTCTCTGATTATGAGCTTTACATCCAAGGACTGTGGTTTCCCTTCACACCTTCCCCAGGTAGATTATTGTCTGAGGAATTCATGCATTGGAATTCCCTCTGACGTGATGGAGCTCCAGTGCTAGGTTAAGCCTTCTGTGTGTAAGAAAGAATTATTGTCACTGGCAAAGAAAGGATCTTAGTTGCCAGGCTTTACAAAAGAGACACCAGAAAAAAATATTTGATTCTAGGACAGGGGTCTCCAACCTTGGCCACTTTTAAGACTAGTGGACCACAAGTCTTAAAGTGGCCAAGGTTGGAGACCCCTGTTCTAGGACATGCCATTCTTGCACATTATGGTAAATGCACCCATCTATTTAATAACTAAACAACACTTCCTCCTGGCCCATACATGCATTGTTAAAATCCTTAATTTGTCATGACACTATGATTTATATACAGTATATTGATATTGTAGAAATGAATACAAAATTTTTATATGTTTGTTATGGCTAACATTGAGATTCATTCATACTTGAGCTTTAAATTGGGTGGCAATTGTATTAAATAGTAAATAACTGGATATAGAAGGCTGGAAAACAATCACTGCCTCTGAAATCATCTACTCAAATAATTGCTTCAAATTGATTTATAAGAGACATTCTGGTATGTACTATTTTTGCCATCATTTTTGCCATCTGCCCTCAGTTAGCTTCCAGTGATACAGTAGATGGGATACAGTCTGATGGGATATTTTGATTAAATATTGCTTCGATCTAGAGTCTCACACATCATTAAGCCACTGCTTGGTTAAATATGGTTTACTGAATAAACTATAGTAGTTGGTTGCACAAACCCAACTGTGAATCTGATAAACCAGAGCAGCCAGTTTTATTCAACATGCTAAGCTGAAACTAAGTACTATCTGGCAATGTAATGTAAATATCCAATGACTTGAAATCAGTGGTTTCAGGTTAGAGCCAACATGTGTTAAGTAAAGGGGCCCATTGGCTCAGCAGTTAAAAGACCCTGAGCTTTTCAGCTGGAAGTCTTGAGTTTGAAACCAGAGCACCATGCAATGGGGTGAGCTCCTTTTACCTGCCTCAGCTCCTGCCCAATTAGCAGTTTGGAAGCATGCAAATGTGAGTAGATTAATAAGTACCACTTTGGTGGGAAAGTAATAGTGTTCCATGTGCCTCAGTGTATAGTCATGCTGACCACATGAGCATGGAAAGAATCTCCGCACAACATTGGGTTCCTCTGCTAAGAAATGGAGATGAGCACTACCCTCCAGAGTCAGAAATGACCGGACAAGGGAAATCTTTACCTATGTTAACTAACCAGGTTTAATGTTGAGATGATGGTATTGAGGACTTAGATTGTGTGTACTGTTTCCCTAGAGAAAGAAGTACAACAATAGAAATAATCAATTGTTTCAGCAGACATCATACTGGGGCATTTTTCCTGTCTTTGTATCTAAGGATCAGTATTTCTAAATCTCAGTCACTTTAAGATGTGTGGACATCAACTCCCAAAATTCCCTCAGCCAGCATTGCTGAATTCTGGAAATTGAAGTCCACGCATCTTTAGGTGATTTAGGTTGAGAAGCACTTAGATTGTTAATGTGAATGAAGAGCCACCACTTGATAATCAGAGAAGAATCGTTAAGATTTCAACTCTTTCATTTCATTCTTATTTCTTGGTAATTTGATAAACTGAAACATGCATAAGCACATACACCAGCAGTAGTAGTTTTATATATATATAAAACAAACAAACAAACAACTGAGGAATCAAACAACTGAGGAATCAAAGTCCTTTTCTCCTTCTAGGTTGTATTATATGAACAGATGTTAACAGTATTATAATTTTATAATTATTTGGAGAGAAAGTGTTGGTTAGCTTTAAACCTTTTACATTTACAATATTTTGCAGCATATTTAAACATTAATCAGCAAGTCCCCATTGTATATATTTTCAGTATCACTTTTGAAACTGGCTTGAAGAGCTTGTTTAATTTGTTCTGCTCCCATTACTAAAGAGTAGAGGTACTGTTTTCGCTAGTTCATTGTTGAAGCAATTGCTTTTGAATTTTTAGAGAAAAAAAGTGTATATATATTTTCTTGTCTTCTATGTGGGGTTCTATTAGATGCATACAATATTTGTGGTAAATCAACAGAGAAGTAGAAGATTTTCTCACAGTATCCTAGCAAAGAACAGGCTGATAGTAATTTGTATTACCCACTATAGCAAACCAAACTTACCTTCTCCAAAAAAAAAAAAAATGTTCAGAAGCTCATCTGTTTGTAAATTCACTATATTGAGTGGCGATAAAGGTAATCCTAGATTTACAACCATTCGTTTGGTGACTCTTTGAAGTCACAATAAGCACTGAAAAAAGTGATGTGTGATATTTTCCACACAATCATGGTCACGTGATCAAAATTTGGGCACTTGGCAACTAGCATGTCTTTATGACAGTTGTGTTGTCCTGGGGTCACGCGTATCACAATTTGCAACCTTCCCATCCAGCTTCTGACAAGCAAAGTCAGTAGGGAGAAGCCAGATTTGCTTAACAACTGCAAAATTCACTTAATCCCTGTAGGGATCCACTTAACGGTGGCAAAAGGGTCACAAAATGAGATGTAACAACTGCCTCGCTTAGCAACGGAAATTTTGAACTCCATTGTGGTCGCAAGTGGAGGACATTTTGCAGTTAAGCAGGGAGGCCCTGGAATGGGAGACTGGATGTGTGTAAAAGCTATTAACTATCTTATTCCAAACTCACAGAGCTGTTCGGAGTATTGTAGACTTAAAGGTTGTGGGGATTATACTTTGAATGCTGCCTGAATAATAACCAAGTCAAGCTTAGGGGACAATACATTACAGGTAATGCTTTGGAATATACGTCTATTTATTCAGAGAGTGATTTCTAGAAGGGCTTTTTCACTTTTTTCTTTACCACAAATAGATTCTAAAATATATGGAAAAAAGAAAGAAAGAAAAAGTAACATTTAAAATGGTGAATGTGTTTAGCTTTACCAATTGATAATATGTACATGTATGTAAAATATTTGCAGATATTTGTATACATTTCTGTAATATATGTATATTTGGTTAATAATGGTGGGAGTGGACTACTGTAAAATTACGCACTTTAATTTCTGTTGAAAATTTTAAAGAAATTTGTAATCCTGTAAAATAAAAGCAACAATCCATCAGTAATTGTTCTGCAAGTTTCATATTGTGGAGTTTCATATTTTTATAAAAATAAGACTGGCCATATTAATGATGGAATCATGTGTAAACTGCAGGCAATGCTATAGTTCATTTTCAAAAACAATTAAGGAATAATTTGGGCTGGATAAAACACAAAAATATCTTATTTCTTAAAAATATACTCTGCATAACAGCAGCAGCAGTGTGGTCTAATAATTATTATTATTGGACTAAAATTGGGAAGGCCCATATACAAAATTAATCTCAGGAAAACACCTCATAGACAAAACACCTATTGGGGGGGCAAAATGGATATGTTTATGTCATACAATTTCAATTGAGATGCAAGAAACTTTGACAATTATAACATTACAAATCTGATCAATGGCTTTTTTTTTTCTTAATTGGGGCAATCTACAAACTTGGGGGGAAAAAGAATAATGCAATGATTTACCAGACAGGATTGAGGTGTTGCAAAATCTACTTTGGAAACCAAGCTGTAAGTAGCAGAACATGCAATTAGGTTGTTGTGTGAGAGATGGGAAATATCTGTTAAACCCCTTCCTCATTTATATACACTTTAGTATTCCCAAAATATAAGCTAGTTTTCCCAGATTTGCCACGCATTACAAGATGACTGACCTCTGTTTGAAATCCAGGTAGATTTCTGTTTACGTGAAGCTGTTCTGTATGAACCTTCTCTTCCTCTTCATTCTCTGAACATTTCTTACTCATTATTTGATTTTCCAAATCAGGAACCCTCCACAGGCAACTTCTAGTTCATCTTCCTTCCAGTAATCTCCCAAGCCTTATAGTGCATTTGTGACTCTGAGAGTGCTTCCACATAGGATGTGCTCAAAAGCAGCTCTGGGTTTTAATCCCTCCATAACTGAGCTGATTTTTGAATCCGTTTCAGAACAACACAATTGGATGAATTTTCTGGTTGTCTCTGGACACCAGTTAAGTTCTGATAGGATTGAGGACATCTAATTTCCCGATTGTGACAATATTTCCCACCCTTCTTCCAGGTGGCAGTTTCAGCCTAAGTTAAGGAAAAAAGATAAATTAATAAAGAGTTTTATTTTTTTTGTCCTCTCAGGAGAAAGCAGGCATCCTAAGTACTAGCTATCTGGACTTTTAAATGTCTTGTGTAAGAGGTGAAGAAGGCTGGATGTAGAAATGCTTCAAAATGAGTTCCAATTCTTGCAGCCTAAAAAGCGTGAATTTTGTTTAGAACTTGACATTTCGGTCAATGTTGCAAACTGTATGTTCTTTCAAGGCATTCAGAAAAAAACCCAGTTGCAAAGAGGAGGCCAACTCAATTCAGATCCTTAATACAAGAAGAATAATTATACAGCCGGGTACCTTCACCCATTGCAAACATTTATTTTGGGACAAGACAGCCCACAAATACAGTCAAAGAAGAAAGAAGCCCCCAGCATTCAGGGTTGGAATTAGTGAAGAGGTTCAGCAGGCCTACTTCAAATTATTTTGAATCAGCATTCATTCAGTGGGGTTGCTTAATTTTCATTAGATAAAGAAGATGTACTATATTTATTAGCCAAAAGCGGCACATTCCATTATTTTGAATTCTTTTTCATTTAACCGCCAAGTGTTGTGTATCGAGTTTAAAAAGTAATGTTACAATATTCAGTATAATCAAAGGCCTTGATTTCAAAAGTAACTTTGCTCCATTTTCTGGTTTTCTGGCGGCCATTGGGAGTTTCCACCACAAAATTTTTAATGGCCAACATTGGAAGTATGAAATCCCGGTGGACCATTTCCACTCCCCAAATCTGCAGGAACACAAATACATTTTAGCCTCTTTACCAGGTTAAGTAAGTCACAAGCACAGATTTCCACCTTTGAGGGAAATGTCAGTGAACTATAGAAAAATTCATCTCCCAGTGTTTGAGCTGCCCTGGTTTTACCAAAGAGCAGAACAGAAATAACGCAGATTGCAAAAGCCCATCCCAGCTTACAGGGATACTCTTGTATTCTTCTCCTTCCTTCCTTCCTTCCTTCCTTCCTTCCTTCCTTCCTTCCTTCCTTCCTTCCTTCCTTCCTCCCTCCCTCCCTCCCTCCTTCCCTCCCTCCCTCCTTCCCTTCCCTCCAGAACCTACAGATTGACTGCTAGAGATTTTCTTCAAGGATACATAGCATTTAACAGGACAGATGTTCTCTGCCCCTACCCCATTTTTTTAATAGTCTGAGAGTTACATGTTATGCTAAATCATGGTTTCTTGGATAAACTAGAATTGCTGGATTCACCCAAGATGACAAACTAAATCAAAATAACATGCATTAGGGCTTTAAGCAAAATCTCAACCAGAGACTACCTAATAATTATCTACCGAGTTCTTGTGCCCGAGCTAAGACCATGCAAAGCTTTCCTAAATGCCCAACCATCAAATTGTGGAAGTTTACCTGAGACCCACTTTCTTATCTGAAACCTTTAACAAGCTTTGGCTTCACATTCCAATTTCCACAGATCAATAAAGACAGATAAAGCCTGTTAAATCCCTGTCCTTGATGAACACATTCTGCAACATCCTTTACAGAAACCCAAAACAACAACAATAATAGAGGGAACAATCATTGGAGGGAAACTTTACTGAGGTCTGCCATGAAACAAATTAAGGCATGGAATATTTACAGAATATGAACCTTGGGATTTTAGAAATAAGTTTGATTTGAAAAATTACGTAAATTCAAAATCCATCTGCCTAGTCCTTCTCACTGGCTTGCCACTTTCTCCTCCCTAACATTTATTTCTTCACAAAAACAAGCAAAATTAAGTACATTTAGAAAAAAATGAGTTCAAACTGCTTACCTGCCCGCATTTCTCACAACTGATGGAATTGCCTAGCTTCCAGTCTTTGAATTTGCGGGAAATTTCCACACAAACTTGTGACTTTTTGTAATAGAGGCTGCATAGAGAACAATTGGGCATTCTGTAATCTTTCACTACTAAGGCAGCTGAGTGTGCAATTCTTGAAAAAAACCAAGCCCTGACTGACAGTTTTTGGAAAGCGGGTTCTTTGCTGAACTTTTCCCCATCTTATGTTGAAAGTAGTGCCTCTGTACACATATGGATTTACATGCAGATAACATTTATTATATTTGGCCTCAGTCAATCAGATATTCAGACTGTATTTGGCATTTTATAGACCTGAGATAGACAGGTGTTGTGTTAAAGGTATGTAAGCTGTTCCAAGTTACCTTTTGCAAGAAACTGATGGTGATTTTGCAATGCCAATGGTGCCATTTTTATATAAATGGGGCTGTACACATATTTGATTAGATACTTGGATTGCAAGCACATTTCCCCTCTAGAAAATTCCTGGGGAACAGTCAACCAGACTCTTGACTGAACTATCTTCCGGATATAGAAGACCATCTCAGGAGGGCCGCAAAGAGAAGGAGCTAAAGTGAGTTTCTTTCCTAATTCTCTATACATTATGCAAGAAATGTTTCTGAAACTGAAGCTAAAGGACTGGCTTTCTCTACCCTAGTGCTCTTCAGATATTGGATATTTCTCTCAGCTCTCATTCATGAGAGGTAATTTTACAATTTATTTGGAGGGCATCAACTTGAAGATGGTTGCTGCAGAGTTGGGACAAACTTGTTGTTTAAATGGAGAAAGCAAAATATGCTTCTCAATAGAACTAGCATTTAACACACACACACACACACACACACACACACACACACATTTCATAGTGGTTTACAGTAATCTCTAAGTGGTATAGAGTCAGCATATTGTCCCCAACAATTTTATCGACCTTGGAAAGATGGGCAGTTGAGTCAACCTTGAGTCGGTCAAACTCCTTGAGTCGGTTGAACTCCTGGCAGTTGGCTTAGCAATACTGCATCCTAACCACTGCTCCATTGGCTCTTCCCAATGTTATAAATAGAGTCCAAAAGCATAGAGCAACTAGTCACTTCTACTTTTCCTCACCTGAAGTTGGGATTAATGTTGATGTGGTGCATATTCTCTATTTTGCGCAGGTCACTTGCACGGCAGACGGCCAGGTTGCAGTTTAGGCAACAGAAAAGTACACTATCTGGATCGTGTAGCTGGCGCTGCTGCTCAAGTTTGATATCCCGCAATTTCCTGCTGATCATGCCTTCATGCTGCAATTTTGCAATCTATTGGAAAGAATCAAAGAATCTGTGTTCCATGCATATGACTTCATTCTGCAAGTATCCAAGATTGCTAAGCGATGGCAAGACTAGTACTCCCAGTTACCACTGTTAAGCAACTATCATGGGTTGTTAAGCAAGGACTTCCTTGCAATTTCCTTCCAGCTTCCAATGAGCAAGATCAATGGGGAAGCCAGCAGGAAATACCCATGGGCTGTCAGACTTCTGAACGGAAAATAACTTCATGTCAACATAGTATGATAGTCTTGCAGGGCTGGTGCATTGTGCAACAAGGTCACATAGTGTAATAAGATTGGGACTGGGTTAGGGACTTCTGTCCTCACTGTGAGTTGTGTTGGGTGTGTGTGTGTGCACGAAGGGAGGCTCAGCCAATCTCAATGTACACATGTTGTACTCTGACAATAATGATGATAATAATGGCAACAACAACAACAACAACAACAACAATAACAATAATAATAATAATAATAATAATAATAATAATAATAATAATAATAA